CTTCTCAAATGTTATATATCTTATGTTACACTTCACGTTAGCCTGAAATCGAACTGATCAATCATTAGTATTCTTTATATTCTCTCTTTTCATTTACTAATATTCAGTAATTTATAATCATCTAAATTATGATGAATATTACAACTAAGTTTGAGACACTTCATGAGTATACATCTATCCCTTCTCCTCATATGAAAAACAAACAAACTTTATACGAAAGCAAATAAAGAAGTCTAATTTTCTAAATGGTATTAGATCAGAATGAAAACAATTTCAAAAATAAATAAATAAATTTTACGTTCATCTCTTCAACTAAATTATTTTAATATCAGGTGAGTTTTTGTGGAGATTGGTGAGGAGTCCCACAATAAGACAAAACGGCCGTCCAGTGCTTCCAGGTTTTTCATACTGCTCTAGCTTCAACTAACTCATGATCTTAACTATTTAAATTATTTTAATCAACCAAATTAAATTACGTTAAATTTTAAATGTTAATTAATTTATTGACTAATTAGATCTACATTATTATAAACAAATCGATTTTAAATGTATATTTATACTTTTTTTAATGATTTAATCTATCTAAACTTTATTTTACAAATTGTTACAATTTTTTTCAAATTGAATACATTTTTTTTAAAAAAAATGTTAAAATCTAATTTAAAATTAACTCAGATTCCATAGCTTTTGTGAATTGATTAGATAATAATCAGCAGTATATATATATCCTATTCATTAGTCAATGAAATATAGATTTCAAATGATAATCGATACACTACTAACATTGATCGACCGTTTATGAATAAGCATTCATCAGATAGACATGAATTTCAGTTTAACGATTATATATATATATATATATATATATATATATCAGAAGGGGTTTTGTGGAGATTTTAGAAATTTCACTGATTGAATTCGTGGATTGGTTGAAGTTAGATATTAACACTGTTGGATGCCAGCCGTCTCAGTGGTCTAGTAGTTGAGCACCTGGTGCGAGACTGTTAGGTCCTGGGTTCGAATCTCGCGGGGTGCGGGATCATGGATGCGCACTACTGATGAGTCCCATACTAGGACGAAACGATCGTCCAGTGCTTTTAGGTTTTCCATGGTGGTCTAGCTTCAATAGACTCATGATTTCAATCAGTGAAATATATATATATATATATATGAACATCGGTTAGTTACGTTTGAAAATACAACATTGATTCAATGAACGATACAAATTTAATTTTGGTGATCAGTGAAACAAAACAGACATTTTTATTGGTAATCGTTCTTTTTGATTCCTTTCATAATGTACATCAATTCTTGAAAATAAAAAGACTCATCACATATTGTTTGCTTTATTTCAATTAAACTGAAGGTAATTTTTGTCATTTTAAACAATTTCTAGCTTTAATTCTATCTTGACAATAGTTTATTATTGATTTATGATCCACTAATGATGAACACTACTTAAGGTTTTGAAAAAAATAGACTGATCAGTCTATTTAAAAACATACGGTTAGGATGAAATTTCATATACTACTGTTAGGAGACCTATGGGTAACACTTGAGTTTCGCTTAACCACTTTTTGCGAAATAAATATTGTAAGGATGAAAAAAATGGTTTGACAAAATGTCGGAGTCATTGAATTGCCATAAATATTGTAGTATCTAGAAAACCGGTCCTCCAGATCTCAAACTGCCTAAATATGTAAATAAATCCCCCAAATTCTAATCTTCTGAATTCTTCATGTCCTTTTTTTTCTCTTTCTAAATTTATTTCACTAAATTATGCTCCTTGAATAACATCTTCAAACCATAATCTTTTTGATTACTGCTTATAATTTTACTACTTCTACCACTACGGGATTTGAGTCGACAAATGCATCTCTGTGATAATGTGGTATGGCAACTCGAACTGATGTACGTACGTACGAAGTGCTACCTTGTTACTGACTGACTCATGGATATTACAGAAACTATACATTCAGTTATACGAGAAATTTTACGATCAAAATTAGTTTACCAAAGTTGAAAAATGAAGGTCACAAAGTAGCCAATAATGTTTCACTTCTGCTCATCATAAAATATATAAATTCCATGTTGAAAAACACAAGATCATCCACACTTCGAAAGTTTAAGATGAATAGTATTAAATTATTATGCTCTCTTACTAATCACTCTGGTATAATCAGCGTCGTCACTGATTATATTATCAATCAGTTAATAGATCTCAAGTTGAATATATTATCTTTATAGAGAAAAAAGATGTCTTCTGTTAGCTTTGTTAGTTTTTCTAGCAACAAACCTTTCAAATGTGTCCAACAATATATCAGAATTTATTCAGAAATAAACAATAAACTATTCTAATTCGAAATAGTTTTGAGAAATGTCTACAATTGTTTAGATTACTTTCAAGTTATTCAGAGTACATGAGTTCTTTTAGAATTTAAACAGTGAAACTTTTACTTAGGAGGTGATATGCATGTATAGATCTCTATTTAACGGGTATTATTGTAAATCAGTATAATAGATATGACTTAATGCAGTATCTTGCATGAAGAATTTTGCAATACTCTGGAAATTCGTTATAGATTACATATGTAACATAATTGGGGTGAATTGTAGAATATCCAGTGATTAACAAAGGAATTTTATCCAATAATGACAATAGAACTTTTCATCCTTAGTGAGTACCGGTTATTGGTATTCCATCAATGGAGTCTATCATCTGAAGCATGTGTCTGCTCATTTACAACCTCTTCAAAAAGTATTCCATTCATCGAACACAAATTTATTCACTAAGTCTTCAAACAATACTTTAGGTGAGAGAACTAGTGATACTACTCAGCTATCTGATTCAATGTAGGAGTAGAGGGGCTTGAACCTGTAACCTCTCACATGCAAGCCGAGAACTAAACAACTAAGTTACTAATTCACATAAGTTCAGTTGATTCAGTTGCAAGTCACCCATTGTCATGAAACTATTCATCTTATCAAGTGCTTTATTATGTACTTATAGCCGCTAACCAAGCACTCTCACTCAGCGTTTTATTGCTTGACTGCTCAGATAAATGAAATAACATGGTTAGGTTTGTTGATGTTTATTATCGATTATCACCAACAATTTTCGTGGTCTAATAAGGTTCTTTCCACTTACTTGAAAATGAATATTCTATTTAGTGCAAGCAATTTCGCATCCTCCAGAAATCTAGTTCATAATGTGTAACAGAGTAATTGACAGGCAGTTTTATGCAAAGTTGCGTACAAGTTGAGGCTGTCAATTCATTCAGATTCAGGATCACATTGCAGTGTAATGAGAAAAATTCGATCAATTTCCTTTCATGAGAAAATCGATTACCTTACTAATGGAATAGTTAATAAAAGCCTTAATCAGTTATTCTTACACAAAATTAAGCAGATGATTTTAAGTATGAAATATGGTAACCGAGAAACTAATGTTTATAGCAGCGAAAATTAGTGATTGCTTACACCAAACTCGTGGAACTCAACTTATGCAGTTAAATATATTTAGAAATTTGGTACACATAAACATATACATAATGGTTAACCGTAACAAATATGTAATGCTTTTTAGTGGAAATACTAGTACTTGGTTTAGTGAATTGGATCCTAACAACCGAAATAAACATAATTTTTTTAAGGATGCTATTACATAACTGGAAATTTTCACATTGAAACAAAAACTTTCATCAGAAGCTAATGAATAGAATTCACTGTTGCCGTTGTTTTTGTTCTCTTAATCGACAAGTATCTACTTTAAGTTTAAGAGATATTTTAACGATTAAATGTGGTTAAAATACAACATAAATTACATTAGATTGTCAAATATAAGCTACACTATTCAAAAAGAACATATCAACATAGTGAAATAACAACAGAAATGTAATAGGAAATTTGAAAAGAAAAAACTGATTATTGCAAAAGGATTTATTATAAATGATCAAAATGATTATCTATGTCACTTAATCATTTAAAATGTCTTATTGACAAATAATCTGAATAGAGTACAAAACTATAAAACTGATGGTCTATTCTGTAGAACTATACTATTTGACAAATCGACTTATATTGTTTAATTATACTGTTCAAGTGAAATTTGTGTAATTGAGGACTATAATCTAGGCATTAAATCTATGGATTTTTTCCGCATTTCTAGTAGATTCACTTTTCATTTCTTTAAATATTAACAACAGATTATAGAAAGAACTATTTCATAGCTCATATATTAGATAATTTATATCAAAATGTATATAAACTTTAAAGAAGAATGTATTTGTAAAATCTCAGCAAAAGAATTTGAAATAAATCCAATGTTTCGTCTGGTAATCTGGTTCAAGTTTCTTCAAACTTTGTTAAGAAATTTTAAAATAAAGATCTTGATGTACTGAAAGTATTACACAAGTTGTTGAGGTTTAATACCGAACTTATTATAGTACAAATTTTCATAGAATTTTTTCTCAGTTTATACAAAGCAAGTAATCACTTGGTATTGTTTGGCTTGTATCTTCCCATTGAGGTTTAAGACTACAATTGATCAGTCTGTTATTGGCACATGTGCATACTGTGCGTATGCCTCGATATTACCTTAATTCACAAGTCATTTGTAAGCAATTATGGATAGTGGCTGGCAGTGGAATCCAGGACGCGCGTTTCGTCCTATTTGGCACTCGTCAGCTGGATGTACCTGCATCTCAGAGTTTATGTCCACTCAAATAATCATTTTTATATCGAAACTTTAGTATTCCTAGATAGAAAAAAATTTATCTGATCTGTCTGATAAGATAAGGATGTATCTTTACGACATAAGTGATCCTTATTGATTTTTTAAAAATTCTAGTCTAAATAATGAATGAGATGAAGATATCTGTCAAACATAGATGAATTAATTGCTTTTAAACATTAATATAAAACTTTTCGCATATTAGTATACATATATATATTTCATTAAATAAACAGAATCAATAAAAATCGATCAATATATAACTTACCTAGTGTAACTTGTAAGGGATAATTTTAATGTTTGGATTAATAAACATTTAAAGCCCAAGATCATCATTATCAATTGCAGTCATCAAAAAGTAGTGTATTATAATGAAGTGTATTATTATTATTAACTAGTATGGAGTTCAGCAACTATAGTCCACTATATACTTTGTTTAATCATGGTAATATAAACAGTACATGTAATAATATTGTAAAACTAGGTATCACAGAATTCAGAAGTTAAAATCACTCTCGCCAAAAACAATCAACGTTAACACGGGAATGAAATATAAAAATTAACCGTTAAATGAAGTGAAAAAATAAGTTTGTTTTAAATTTAACGAAAATTTCAAACCTATGAAATTCTTCATTTACAGTTATCCTCCCTGTCTCATATTCTCTCACATGCATTTGTGTATATGATTGTTCATTCTATATTTCACACTGTTTTTGTTCCTCAATCAATATACATATATGAACATACAGACAAAAATAGTTGAACACACAAAAATATTTTCGTTTTAATTTTGAAAATTGAAGGAAAGACATAAAATTGTAGAAGTTTTTGAGAATTGTTGAATAAACTTTTGTATGTATGTATCGATACAAATAATGTGGATAGGACAATGTTTCACTGTAAATGTGTATCTAACTAACCAACCAACTAACAAATATTTCATCTCAGTAAAATATTACAACACAGATTCGAGTCCACCACCCTAAAAAAAATCTTAAATTCATATTTTAACTAGTTACAAACGTATACAGACATATACACACAAATTGAAATATGTAAATATCTGTAAAAAGAAAGACAATCTAACAGCTTACATGCATATCACACACCTACATTGTCATTGTAATGTAGCCACGAGAACCATAGTTCATTCTCTTACCCTCTTTTAAAGATCTTTAACTAAAATACGAACTTGAATGTGTATATATATTTGCGTAAAAAAACACAACAGAAAAGGCAAAAAGTTGAAACTTTAGTGATAGTTACAACTATTTTCCATTTAGATAAACTTCTCCCACCCTTTGCATACAAATTTCTCAACCTGTTTTGGAAAGAGTTTATGATGATGACTGACCTTTTATTCACTCATTCATTCATTCATTCATTCAATTTAAATCTCTCTTTCTCTGTTACCCTATAAAATATGCATCACTTAGATTGGCTGTGAAAAACAACATGTGACCGCAAGTTTTGACTAATGTGTGATTGGTTTATTGAAATAAGTTAGTGAATTAATGAACAAAAATCAACTCATGAAAATTATCTTTAAATTTTCTCAGTGTACACATTATACTTTAAAAATGATTCCTATCACGAAGGGGTTCATCGTATAATTCAACTTCTATAGTAAGAAATGATTACTGTTATGCATGAAAATTGGATTCAATTTATTCAGTTACAGACTGTATTAATTATATTATTAGTAATAATAATAATTATTATGAGTTATCATTCGACTTTTTGTTCACCTGTTGATACGCATATAAATATACATTATATATGAATAGATTTATGCACAATACTTTGTATAGTGTTGTATATCCTTCATTGTTGGGAGCATACTTATATGACAGGTTAACTGAAAAATCTTCCCACCCCCCAGAAAAAAAACGAGAAGTTAATAACCAAATGAATTTATTTCATTTAAAAATTTTTTTAAGCATTCTATTCCATTAACAGAGATTTGCTTTCTTTTCTATATAAATGATTACAGATTTTGTTAAGCAAAAAAAAAACTCATATTTTATTCGAATTGACATATTTCAGTTTATTTATGAGCAAACTTTATATGATACTAGAGGTTAATTTCATTATCGGTTATTATTTTCCTTTCAAAAATTACTATTATTACTTACAAATTACTCATTTATTTTATTTAAGTAATTAATGTGAGTCAGGGGTCGTCTATCATTGATAATCAATATCATAACAAGAAAAGTGATGTTATGAAGTAGTTTAGGATTTCCTCTATGTTTTCTTTTATTGTGGATATGTAGAATTGGAGAAAATGTTTATTGATTGAAAGTAGTGAATAAGAAATTTTAAACTTGGATTTTTGTTAGTTGATGTTAATTAACAAGAATTATTGACAATATTGATGGAGCTGTTGCTCCATGTGGAATTTTGAAACTGTATTAATCTATATGACAAAGGCTTAACCGCATAGCTATAATTCCTATGGCTGACCTATATGATTTAGAATTCACCAATAAGGAATTCACAATTACCATACTAGTTATTAGTCAATGGTAAACCAGTGTTGTTAACTATCTAGTTTAATATATTACTATTGACAATGGATAAGTTTACTCGAATATAATTCGAATACTGAATGTTCTATCTCTGGTTATACAGTCTTTTATGTACTCACTTATCGTGTGCTTCATCATATCAGTAAATTAATTGGAAGAACTGGTTTTGGGTTTTGTAAATGTTGACTCTTATGAACTAGTTATGTTTGATGTTCCAGAAATTAACATTTGATTTGAGTCATCGACTCTGCTAGTCAATATTACCACTTAAATTTTATAGCCAGTTTTTCAATTCACACAAAACTGACTAATATGTAGCTTTTATCGATTTGAAAATCTCATTAGGTATTTACCCGTGATTCCACGTAAAATCGAACCTAGAACACATTGGTCTTTCAGAGAACCCTATAACTTTGGACTATATTGTTTGAAATTTAATGGTTATCTATCATAAATTTAGCCTATTTCATATATGTAAACATATACATAGGAAATTATGAAGTACTATAGAAAATGGAAAATATATGTGCTGTGTCCTAGTTGGAAGCTAGAAAGACTCAAGAAATCCATTTCAAAGTTAAGTAACAGGACCCATAGGATTGTTATTTATTAATGTAGGTAATATAGAGATTTTCTGTCACTAACTATCGACCAAATAATAACGGTTATGAAATCATATATGTTAATAGTTTCAAACTAAACCACTTTTTATAATTATAAGTTAAAAATAGTAAGTAGTTAATCTATTTTAAAAATTATTACCAACCTGAATGAATATTTGTCATATAATCACGGAAAACCAGTAAACTACAGATATCTGAAACATTTAATTCGTAACAGGATGTAAGCATAGTGAACTCTATGTTCTACTAGTAACATTGTTCTAACAAAATGTAACGACGAATATTTATCAATAATATATGTATTGAATAAAGTTGTAATTTTGAGTTCTAATAATGCTTTAACGATTTGGATATAGGGAGAAACTTAAGCATTTAAACAACAAATTTGGAGAGAGTCTTTCTATATAAATTTGTACACAGTTACTAAACCACTCATTTATAGTTTAATCAAATATTCTTTACGACAATTTGTTACATAGAAGATAAAAGACTAACAGAACGATATCAAAGAAATTTTTATTCTTCACTATAAACAAATTTGAGCAAATAATAAACTTTTCTCTATTCATGTTTCTTTTCATCATTTCATCAGTCTATATAGTATGATTGGATACAAATATTATTTTCATCATCGATAATATATCTTAGAAAATATCACTGATAATGAGGGAACATTGAATATATATATATATCTTATATCCTAGTTTGAAATAAATTAACAAATTAACCAGAACCATCTTCTTTCAAACTCACAGTCATTATTAAATTAAAATCTTTAACTCAAATAACATCAAAGATATCCATATAAGGTGCAAATCTTCTTTATCATTTGATAAACAGTATGTTTTATTATTATCCTTAAAAATGATACATATCAACATGGATATATGAATATTTATCATTATTCCATTTAGAATAGTTTAGATAATGTTGATTTACTTCATAGGAATTCTTTTAATCATTCATTCATTTCAATTGAACAAATAAATTATGTCATTGTTTGAAATAAATTCTATTCATTCAATCAATCAATAAAATAATTCGTCAATCAATTTTGATTGAATATAATTTTAATTAAAATAAAAATCAATATTTAACTTGATTAATTTTAATAGTTTGTTTTTAATATTAATTAACGTTTTTATTTTTCAAAAAAAATAACCCGTTTTTTAAAACTAGACAAATTCCACAACGGTTAAAAAAAAATCCATAAAACTATGATTGTCATGATATTTTTATAAATTTTTTTTTTGTTGTTGTAAAAATAAAATTCCATATCAAGTTCTAAATTGTTTTCTATCATTAAGAATTTCATATTTACATTGATATTCACATGGATTTGATTTATGTGCTCAATTTTAAATTTAATTATCTTGTCAACAAGTTTTAATTCCAAAAGTTAACAACAAAAAAAACAAAAACAAACGAACATGTTTAAACGTGCCTTATCTTAGTACACTTTTCATAAATATATATATATATTCAATACATTCATATTCATATACATATACATATGAGAAGAGATAAACAGAGATGAAAACACCATGTTTTGAGTTTTGATATGATACATTTGTAGTAGTTATTGATATTAGAGTAATGGTTATAAACTTTAGATAAGAATTTTAACAACAGTAACAAAACAAAAATGTAATAAGGGTGGATGAATGTATGATTTTTTTTGTATTGATGGAGTTCATTTATTGATTAATAACTCATTAAATAAATAGGATAAATAGAAATAATGTGAAACAAACAAAAAAATTATAAAAAAAAAATTAAAATAAAATTTCATAAAACAAAAACACACACTTGAAACTATTACTACTACTAACCGACTTTGAGTCTTAAGATTCTTTATCTGTAATTTTTTTTTCTTAATAAATAAATGGTTTTCATATATCATGTGTAAACAGTAAAAAATACCAATAAACTTTATTGTTTATGCATTTTTATATGTTGTATGTTGTGCATAATTTAATTGTGTTTGATGTATGTTGTGATAGTTGGATTTAAGTGAGATGACAAATATGAATAAATCTGCGGTAAATGTACGCTTTCTCTCCCTCTCTCGAAAACTACCACATTTGAAATAATCGCTATATATATATATATATATATATATATATATATATATATGTATATATATGCTATAAGTTTTTTTCCTCAGACAATTGTGTACAATAATATTCATAAATAATATTATGTTCAATTATATGAGATAGTAATTTGAACGAAAAGCAAACAGAAAGGCTTTTTATAGTTTACATGACGATCTGATTTTACTCAAACAGCCTTTATAAACTAAGGAAGACTGGACATAAACAGTACGACCTACGGTCCCGGCAAGTATTAAATCCAAGATTCTCATGTTTCATGGTGCATACTTAGCCATTAGAACCACACTAGGACAAAACAGCTACTCAGTGTTCTCTCATTTTCAAATCAGACCTAGCTTCGAAAAAAACCTACAAACTAAACTAGTCGCTACAATATTTCTTCGCTTAACTTCATATTATGTAATAAAGATATGATCTGAATAGTTTTCGGATGGGATGAAAAAGTATTTCAAGACTTTCCTATAAACTGTCTCCTATTTTATTGGTCCATTATGACAGTAAAACCCAACATATTTCGACAGTATAAATAAAATAATGAGTTTCTTTCAGCTAGTTCTAAATGGATTACGATGATATTCTTTCATCATGGTATGTTATAAATTTTTAACTAATTTAAAGATATGCTATGCAGATGAGATGATTATTGAACGTAAAAAAATAATGTTCATTTAAATTAAACAATTATAGTATGCTACATTCAAATGGCTATGCAACCAAGAATAAGTAAAGAAGTAACATTAACAATAGTCTACAATGATGTTTTTAGGTTTAATAACACAAAATGAATGGCATAACACGAAAAATAAGTGAACATCATCCAATTGTAAGACATTTGATTTTACAAAGGGCAGTCACTTGATTACAATTAACGTAGAGGTTAGAAAAATGTGTATTGATCCAAGTAGGTACATATAACATACCCACAGACATTGTAGAAAGTAGTAAGGTGAGAAGTAGCATATAAAAAGAGACTTAAGCTGCGATGAGAAGTTAAACATAAGAAATATAGTTTAGAACGAATGAATGAAGTTGAAGAATAAAAAGTATAGAATGACACTAGATACGGGATTCAAAAAATAAACTCCACTTCAT